AGAACAAGATCGTCTCAGGAAACCTGCGGATCCTTGACCACTGAGGCATTCTGGGAAAAAATGCAAAGCCATTTGCACCTTGAAGAGACTGAAAGATTCACTGATGAACGGCAGGGGATGTCAGAAACAGAATCATGTTTGGTTTTTCCATTTCAGGTCAAGTTCAATTCAGCACGAAAGGGTCAAAGGTTACCCTCGTTCTTCCTGATGTATACAGTAGATGTTTTTCATGAAGAAACTCAGTGTTACTATTTAAACATAAATCAATGCAGAGTCTGACTGTGGTCATTGTCATGTCAATTAAAGAAGTGCAATTTGGATCAGCTGAGTCTTGTGTGATTTTTAAGTCTAGTACAGGTCGATGTTACCTTCCTCCGACAAAGACTTGTGCAGATGTGAACTAGGTATGTTTTGGGCAGCACCATATGAACATGAATATCACTGCTGCAAGGCAGAAACAAACCTAGTACAAACGCTGCTTCATCATTTAATCTTAAAATCTCTTAAAATGACATACACTTGTGATTTCACAAACTAACACCAGATGGCCTCACACACTTCTGGCTTCACCGTCCAGATACAGCTGCCTTATATAAACTGTGAAGTACTTTCCATCCTGCTGGGTAGCTGGTGGATTTCCTACTGGGATCAACAGAGTCTGATGGTTCTACTGGGTTTGGTTTGATTCATCTGATTCTGGACCTGAAGTTATCAGGTACATGTAGTGCAGTAAAAAGTACACGGTTTGTCTCTGACATGGAGTCACAGGATGAAGGAGCAGGAAATGAAGTCAAGTAAAGTACAGGTAGCTCAAAACTGTTCTTGAGTACAGTACCTGAGCAAATGTACTTTGTTACTTTCCACCATTTTGTAAAAAGCTTGAGCCGTTATTTAGCAAATGGACAAAACAGAAGAAAGTGAGAATGAAAAGGAAATTAACCTTTAAGTGAAAGGTAATGAGGGAAAAGGAAACATTAAGCGAGAAACTCTCTCTAGACCTGAGATGAACGTGGAACTTGTGATGCCTCATTAGTAAACATGAAACACGACTCATCTTCCGGGAGCTGAGGTTAAACCTGAGTCGCCCTGCTGGTCAGTCCCACTCTGCACACAATGCACTGGCTTGTAAATAAGTAATGGCCAAGTTTATTATTGTCTAGTATGTGACTACCTGCTTGTTTTACAGGCTGCAATCCAGTAAGTCTGAGTTTGGTTTAGGCTAGAAATCCCTTCATTATTACAAACTGGCAAAGGATGACAGCTGTTATAGTTTACTGGTACAGACTTAAGACACCAAAAATAAAACTGCAGCTTCCTTCCAGTAATCAGAACTTATATCAAATAAAACCACATTTTAAATAAAGGTAACTTTGGTGTTGGTGTTCTGTGTCGTTCTGGGCATCGCTTAACATTTAATGCCAGAAAGAGACTTAATGCTCTGGCACTGTTCATCTAAACTGATTTCTTCCTCTCACTACAGATCTATATTGGGATCCTCCTGTTTCATGGCCTGTTGTATGATGATACCTCAGCTGGAGACCTCACAACACCACTGGTATCAGTTATTTTTTAAATACACTGATTTCTGTCCTCAGACTCTTCCAGAAGCTGCTCTGCCTCTTCCTTTGTTTTCTACGCAGACTGGGTTAAAAACAATGTGTGTGTCTGGGGCTCCTGCAGCTTGGAATATGGGAAATGTTTTAATGCCATTTTGAAACAAACTGTATGTGGTTTCTTTAATGTCCCAGTCAGGAACCAGTTACTAAACCTGTTCCTGTCATCTGCTGAATCTCCCTGGAGTCTCTGTGGTGTCTTTAGTTTTTTCCCTTACCTGCTAGAGAGACTATCCTGGTCTATACTGATTCTCTGGCGATCCCCCTGTTCCACTTCAACCGAGGGCTCCAGCATCCTGCTTCAGTGGAATCGTCTGCCTCCCAGTGGCCATCTCCTCTGACTCCTGCCATCCCACACTGCCCCGCTCACCACCCGGTCTCCCTCACTGCTGCACGGTGATTAAGAATTCATCAGTGTCCAGGTTCCCTGCCATAGTTCCAGGCCTGTACAGACTGTGCTGAGCTGCCCCCCGCTGTCTATCTAGTGTGTGTGCCTCGACTCACCTTCAACCCTGGGTTGCTCCCCCACTCGTCCAGTGGATAGTTGCCCATTTCCTGCCGAAGTGCCTGTGCCTCTTCCAAGACCTTGAGTTGTTATTGCTGATTACAACATACTTGCCTTCCTTGATCCTGTGTTCGAGTTCTGCCCTTTTCTGGGTCTTCTTGTTGTCCCTGACGGTTAGCCGTAACAGAACCTTCAAGGCATTTTTATCTGATAGCGCCCTTGGTTACTGTTTCAGTTTGGCAGCAGAGTCACTCTGGGGCCCCCGGTGTTTGATTTATCCAGCTGCTGGTTGAGCCTATATAAAGGGTGTTTTACTAAGAAGAAGCCTCATCTGCTTTAAACATTACAGGGGACAATGGAACATAAAGTGGAGCTGGCTTTTCAATGCAACCTCATTAGAAACAAATCTAATGTGTCTAATGTGAACTGGAACATAAAGGTGATTAATGAGAGTCTTTTATTGTGGTGACAAAGGAAACACAGGGGTCACAGCTGGGATGGGGGGAGGCAGAGCAAGCACAGACAGAGAGGGGGGAAGTTCTGACTTTAAACTTTCACAATAAAACACCTGTAAATGGTACAATTTTCCTTTTTATGCCTAAGGTGCTAAGAGGACCTGGAGAAAACAGCTGACTATGCCCAAACATGGTGTAATTCATTTTCAATAAAAGGTGTTTCAAGTGGAAATGTAAACTTATTATTAAAGCTACAGTTTCAGATCTACCTCAGATCGACCCAATGGAACCTGTGAATTCTTTGAAACGAGCGACTGAATATGTGAAATCTGATAAATATTTGACATTTCACAGAGTCCTCATCAACTGATTGTCTGCTGTGTGAATGTATTTTGGTCTGACATCCAGTTTCCCCTGTTTTTCCTTCATGTAGTTGTAAAGTGAATCTTACTCCACAGTGTCTCATTTATACTGTTGCATATTGTTTCCGCTCTTCACAGAAACTATGTGATGACAGCATCTTCATTTTACTTGTCTTAAACCTTTGCACATACTGTGTCATATGCTGAAATTGGCCATGCTGCATAATAGATATTTTGGTACTTTAAGTATATTTAGAAGCTAATACTTTTATACTTTTATGTACAGTTTATTACAGTATTTCTACACTGTGCTGCTGCTTTTACGTAGAGCAATATGTGACATTCTTCTTTTAACAGATTGAAAGTTCAATTCATGAGTAATAAAATGTACTTTTGCCGTATCCAGTATGCTCAGGAGTTTTACTGCTGCTCCTTACGGGGTCTCAGTATGACCACTAGCTTTATGAATGAATTAAAGACGATTCTGACTCTTGTCTTCTTGAAAGCTACATTACATTTTAAACTTCTCTGGTGGCACCCTCATCAAAAGTCAGTCTACTTCCACCACTGTTTAATATTAGTATTTTTTATCTTCTGACGAAGCAGAAGATAAAAAATACCTTGTGTGTAACATACTTGGCCAATAAAAAGGTGATATATACAGGATATATTGCTCAAATATCGCCAAACTCTTGAGCAATGGTTCTACTTAGTACATTTACTCAAGTACTGTTTTTCTAAGAACAAATATAAGCACTTGTACTTGACTATTTATATTTAATGCAACTTTATGCTTCCACTCTACTACATATCAAAAAGCAAATATTGTACTTTAACCCCACTACATTTGTCTGACAGCTTTAGGTACTAGTAGGTATGTTGTTGAATATGATGCACTGCTGCAAATTGAATTGCTCCAATCTTAAACAACTACAGCATTAAAGATTTACATAATACTAATTCAAAAACATCACCTATAACACTGACAGCACAATTGTTCTACCTAATGAATATGTTTATCTTTGATAAAGTACATTTTGCTGATAATACTTACACATTTGACTTAAGAAGGATTTTTACTGTTAGTGGAGTATTTGTACGTTGTAGTGTTTCTACTTTAGCTTCAGTAAATAATCTGAGAACATCTTTCACCACAGGCCTTGACTTTGAAATCCAAGCGATAACTACTCGCTTTATTTTGAAACGCACCCCGGAAGTAGGCACTGTTTATACTGAGACTGTGGATGTGGTGAAGTTGAAGACAAACTTTATTGAGGTTTGGTTCAGTTCGGTTTAGTGTTGTAGCGATTAAAAGTCAGTAAAACAACCGGTGGACATTCAAGTAGCTTTCTGTCTAAAGGTCTTGGTCCAGTCGGGACATGAAATTGTTTTTACTTGACCAGTAACTTCGGTAAGTTTGTGGTTTTAAACGGTGGTTTTTCTTGTTACCGACGTGGAGACGTGACCAACAATCAGTTCTAAGTCACAAGCTAGTTAGTTAACGAATTAGCTACTTTGTTAGTAGCTTTAACCAGCTGACTGCTGTAACAACGATGTTTTGCTAATGTTACCTACTGTATTTAGCTACGTAAGTTTTAATGGAGACATCCATAAAATACTTAAGAGTTTAAACATTGCTGTAACGACAGACCTTCGTTATTAGTTTAAATCAACTTGTTGGTACTATTATGTTTGGTTTTCTATTATTTCACCCATAGTATCTGTGTCATGTAGTGAACTTTATTGACTCAGTTCATTGTTTTGTGTCATGTAGTGAACTTTATTGACTCAGTTCATTGTTTTCTGTCTGTATTTTCTAAGTCTTACACTTTAACTTTAAACATTACTGCACCAAAAATAAATACTACTATCAACACTTATTTCCATTATCTCCCATTCTTCAAATGACTTTTGGATCCTAAGAACAAATGGCAACGAGTTGTATTTTAATGTCAAAACAAAAGGTGACGTCTGCTTTGTGTCACCAACAGTGTGAAACGAAGACAAGTAGCACAAACTGAGAAGTTGTGACTTGTGAATTGTTGGCTGTTCACTTTATCAAAATAGATCAAATCCTTTATTTTACACTGGCTAATCTCCCACTATAAAGGATTTATAAATATGAATCCAAATACATAAAGTCCAGTTTTACAGTGCTCTTCCACTTTATTATGGGTCTGTCTTTCCTCCAGCTGTGCACGGTGCTGTAGTGTGAATGTTGAGTGCTGTGTGCACACTACAGTGTGGGTAATTGTGGAGTTTAAGTGTACATGCTCCTCACTGTGCTTATCCTTGAATTGTCATGCCAGTCGTGTATTGTCTGAGCAGGGCTCCAGCAGTGTTTGCGGTTGACAGACCGGTCTGTCCGGGACCGTGCAGCTCAGCTGGCCTCTTTTGTTCCAGCCACACAAACTGATTAGCATGCACCGTCCTCCCAGAGCATCTGTCCCCGCAGATGTCGCTTTTGTTCCTCGTTTAAAACTTGAAATTTTGTTCTTTTTGTCCAGCTGTCCATTCATAATAAATCTTAAAGGCATGCCAACCCCTCTGACCTAAAACCTGGAGAAAGTTTAGTCACTGTGGATTAAAACAGAGTGAACTTACAGTGGGTACAGAAAGTATTCAGACCCCCTTAAATTTTCCACTCTTTGTTATATTGCAGCCATATGCTAAAATCATTTAAGTTCATTTTTTTCCTCATTAATGTACACACAGCACCCCATATTGACAGAAAAACACAGAATTTTTGACATTTTTGCAGATTTATTAAAAAAGAAAAACTGAAATATCACATGGTCATAAGTATTCAGACCCTTTGCTCAGTATTTAGTAGAAGCACCCTTTTGAGCTAATACAGCCATGAGTCTTTTTGGGAATGATGCAACAAGTTCACACCTGCATTTGGGGATCCTCTGCCATTCCTCCTTGCAGATCCTCTCCAGTGCTGTCAGGTTGGATGGTAAACGTTGGTGGACAGCCATTTTCAGGTCTCTCCAGAGATGCTCAATTGGGTTTAAGTCAGGGCTCTGGCTGGGCCATTCAAGAACAGTCACGGAGTTGTTGTGAAACACTCCCATAGCATGATGCTGCCACCACCATGCTTCACTGTTGGGACTGTATTGGACAGGTGATGAGCAGTGCCTGGTTTTCTCCACACATACCGCTTAGAATTAAGGCCAAAAAGTTCTATCTTGGTCTCATCAGACCAGAGAATCTTATTTCTCACCAGCTTGGAGTCCTTCAGGTGTTTTTTAGCAAACTCCATGCAGACTTTCATGTGTCTTGCACTGAGGAGAGGCTTCCGTCGGGCC